TTTAGCCCCAAAAGTTAGCATCCCTTTTGGGCCGCATCATACAAACTATATACAAGGTCTAAGCTAACCGAAGTCAACTCCAACCCTTGCACTAGTTTGTACTGGCTTACAAAAATGGAATGGTTTTCAGGCAAAGTGATTAACAGATCAGCCATTGGAAAAGTCTAAGAAAAATTTGTGGAAAATTTTCATCATAGAGAAAGAATGACTCTCAGTCCAGGAATACAAACTTTTAAGACTCAACCAACTTCTTACTACTTACAACTTCACATAAGTTCACCTCAACATAAATTCTCAAGACCCATAATATGTTTAAGTATCGAACATCTTTGCCCATTCTTCCGACATCCAACATTGACATTTGCAAAATGCAAAGTGAACATCCAAGGCTTGATCACGAAGACCACATCTTCGGATATTCACATTGCACTAACACCTTTCTTCAATCACCCTCAAAATCTAATGTGAAGCCAAAACACTAACAAGAAAAATGACATGGAGAATCAAGCTCTAAGGAAAAATTCCTCATCACTTGAAATAACAATACCACTTCCATTAACACAAGTGCTAGTAATGTTATTGCCACAACTACACACCTTCTCCATCTAACAATCTACTCCAAGTGCTAACAGATCAACAAACAAGCCATAGCAAGTGAATGTTATAACCTTTTTCCAACACCTTAATGGGCAAACTCAAGGAAACAAGGTACCAACTCAAGATTAGCATAATGGACCATCATTGAGAATCCAGTCAAAGCTACTATAATGCCACTTCGTGCAAGTAGACTAGCTTCACTATCAACCACTTTGGGGTTGATCATTGTTTAACCAAACAACTTCGTAAATACATTGCTCATTATCACGTGGATATGATATTAGTATCACAATGTCTTGATCATCAATTAAGCAACACCACGAGCAAAGCCTATGTCATTACTTCAAAGGTTTATGTGAGTATCAAATGCCAACTCGATTCGACAAAATGCAACATAAATGCCACACCCCATCGATAGAGATTTACAACACCTAACACCACTAACTTTTATTCATAACACAGACAAGCTTGTGCCACTCTCTTTCTAACTAAACTCAAAACTAATCTAACACCAAGCTACTCAAAGAGCAATAGCAAAGTTCCCTGGAAAAGAATTAAGCATTGCAACCTAAGTCTTCCAATAGCAAGCCTAGACAAAATGATATAGCACTTCACCACTATCCATCTCATGACTCACCACTTGTAAGACTATCATTTTTAATATGCATCAAGGTAGAGACTTTTGATTGCATATTGTGAACACGAGCAATGAGTCACACCTCGTTGCAAATCATCTTTCCAAAAAGAGAAGATGATTTACGTGTTTGATCCTTCGTCCCTGATAACTCTCTTTTTGGTTTCATCTTTGACCCAACCTTAAACTTGCTTTTGCACTGCCTTCAGTTAAATTCAAGAAAAGTTTATGAGAGAGCACGCCAATAACTACTTGAACCAATAGACTAATCCCTATAGTCTTAATTGATCCACTTATAATCATGCCTAAGAAGGATCCATTAGTGCCATGCTAAACAGCTACGGACCAACCTATTTGCCACTCATAGCAAACCCAGGGAAGGTTTACTTTCACCCATGGTACATGGAACAATTCATGGAACCACTGATAGGCTAACATTAATCCTGCCAACTCAAAGTGTAACCTTGAGTTGCTAATGTGCCTCACTCACAAGCCCAAGTGCAAACTCGTGCAAATGGAACAACTCAGTCCACCTTATAAGCCCAAGAGCAAGCTCACATAATATGGAACAAGAAGGTAACCAAATCTATACCCAAGAAACGATTACGAAGTTATTGCACCCAAATGTGTACCCACTCAGATCATCGTTTTCATCTCTACATATGCAATGAGACTAGTTGCCCAATCTCATTGTATAGTACTCGCTGAGACTCATTCTCTGATACCAAATGTAGTGCACGTGGTTTTTGCCCTTTATCCTATGGTGATTTACTATGGGATAACACTAGAAAGCAGAACCTAAACCCTCCATATGCCACATGTCACATGCCACGTGTCCAAAGGACAGTGGTGTGGAACCCAAGGTTCAGGGCCTTAGGCCACTGAACGAAGGAACAGTGCCAAACTCCCAAGCATGGAGCCAAGGAGCAATGGCACTAGAGCACGGAACGACTCCCAAGCATATAGCCTAAGGAGCAAAGGGACAGGAGCCCAGAGCAACTTGGAATAATCCTGAAGCGACCAGCATCCCAATGCCAGGACCAGCACACAAAACGAAGCCAAACAGAGTCTGGCGCTATTTCGGCATACTGGTGGCTTAACACAAAGATATGAGTACTCCACCAGCTAGCATGGTATGGAACTTGGGCTTAGACCCAAGCTGAACGCAGAACAAGGACAAGCACACAAGCAGGAGCTAAACTATGCCTCAAGTTGGTCAACCATGCCCGACCTACCCACTATCCCTACTATACATTTCGAACCCCCCCCCCCCCCCCTGAGGAACACACGCTTTGGGCTTCACCCCCAAGCTCCCTTAGTATCAGGAGTTAGTCTCTGGGACAAGTTCGAACCTACTAAAATATGGAATGTCCCTAGATTGTGAATTGGACATGGGACGAACACCATCGTGTTCAGGACAATCTCTACATTCCGTAGATATGCCAAATGAGCAAATCTGGACACTTTCTATAAATAGCATTTGGGACCAAAATGAGACTAACCACAAATGGCATGATAGCAAGGGTGTTTGGCAGACACGGTAAGCTATCATCTAGCGATATTGAGGGACCAAGCTCAATACACGAGGGTTCTTGTCAAGCCAGTGAAAGACAAAGGAAAAGAGAACTAACAAGCTAGGCTGAGTATGCTCAGCTAAATAGACATTTAGGAATTCCTTCCTTATGCTCATCCGGCCAAGTACAGATGCTAAGCCCAGTTTACTAACACTTGAACAAGAGGGACTAATAAAGGGTCTAGCAATACCAACTTCCTGCCATTATGGTAGTAAGGAAAGAGTGTCCATAAGGATTAGCCGATAGATAACTTTCGATACCCAAAGTCATATTTGCAACAATTACCCTCTTTTTACTTAGTTTTCTCGCAATTTTTTGTGATTAGGGTATTAATTCTAGTTTTTTTTTCTTTGAGTCAGTGCGCCTTGGCATCCTCTTTCTAATGAGCTAAATAGCCCCCTATTTTGTGGAGGATTCAGCTGCATGCATGAAGTTTTGTCCATCACACTCTCCCGTTTTCATAGTAAATTTCTAATGTTCTAAGATTGCAATTCTAGGACCAATTTTGGAATTTCTTCTTCTAGGCATGTAGATATGAAGACAAGATTTCCAAAGAGTCCTTTCTTGGCAGCCAATTCTCTCTAGGCCATGACACACAATAATTTTTCTCTTACGGCATTTCACATCTCAAACTTGCAAGTTTTTTGCTTGATCTTGGGGGAATTCTAGGCACCATTCTTATGGAGATTATCATGGCCATGCTATTACCTTTTGCTAATGCCAAAGGTGAGTGTTTCTTGTGTTAGGGAGTGCATTTTCTTGTGTTCTCCTTCTTTTTGTCTAGAATTTGATGTTTGAGTCAAATTGTTTTTGAGATTTTGAGCATCTTAACTCATGATTTTGGTCTCATTCTCTTGGTTTAAGTCTAAGCTTTCCAAAAAATCTATCCACACCCAATTTCGTGCACAAAGTTGAGAGATTTTATATGAAATTTTTTTCCCCTTGAGGCATTTTAAGTATTAGAGTTTCATTTTGTTTCTTTTCTTGATTTTTTTAGTGATAACATATATCCACATCCTACCAAGTGACACAACATCTTTTGTATCTTTTCCCTTTTTCTTTGCTAAATTTTTCTTTTTTTTATGAGAAATTGGCATTTGTGAGAGTAACAATGATTTTGGCTGGGGAAATCTATGTGGGGATACTTCTTTATTTGGAGCTATCCTATTTGGATATTCTGTTCTCACACAAATTAGAGTTTTTAGTGCATTGCATTTTCCACAACTTGGCATCTACTACACAATGGACGTTTTATACTAATTTGCACTTGTTCCAGTCAAAGACAGCAACCAACAAACTTTCATACAGTACCTAAGATACAAGGACATTTTTAATGCCTTCTATTGAAATTTATTTATTAGATTGTTCTTTCCAGCCAGGAGGATTCATCACTCACCACAGATACCGAGTTGGGGAGTCTACCGCCCCCCCCCCCCCCCAATGGCTTTTCCTGCATAAAATCATTCACCACAAATACCGAGTTGGGGAGTCTAAAAAAACGACCTCAAACATACCGGGAAAGTGTTCTAGGGCTCTTGATGGAAAATGCCAGGAGGGAGAGCGATCCTTCCTCCCAGTTCTTGGTGCTTCTTCCATCGTGCAGGGAATTGGAGCAAGCGCGGTGGCTCCACGCTCGGATCTTGGCCAGCGCTGAATGCCGCCACCACAAGCTCCTCGCCAATTTCTGCGTGGAGATGTATGGCAAATGCTGGGGCGTGCGCCATGCCAGGTATGGTTTCCATGCTATCCAGGAGCTGGGGCTACTCCTGGAACATCTTGCTCCGGCTTACGCTCCACGGCCGCTTGGATCAGGCCCGGGAAACGTTCCACCGGATGCCCTCACTGCCTGGAACGCAATGATCACGGCGAGTTCTCGCGGCGGCAACGTGGATGAGGCGAAACCTCTGTTTGATTCCATGCCCCAGCACGACGTCGTCTCGTGGACTGCTATGATCCAGGCGCTTGGTCGGAACGGGCATTTGGAGGACGCAGGTAAGCTCTTCTCTTTGATGCCTGAGAGGAATGCGATCACTGAGACTACAATGATCCAAGCCTATGGCAAGAGCTCCCGCGTCCATGTAGCAGTTGGGATCTTTAACAAAATCCCAGAGAGCAACCTCTTGCCATGGACTTCCATGCTCGCTGCATATGCCCAGAACGGGTAGCTTGAAGAAGCTCGTGCGGTGTTTCACAACATGCCGGAGCACGATCTCGTCGCGCTCACCTCAATGCTCATAGTGCACATCCAGTCGGGGGATCTCGAGCAAGCCAAGGCCATCTTCGCCCGAATGCCCGACCAGGACATCATCTCCCAGACAGCGATGATCCAGGCCTTCTCGCAAAACGGCCAGCTCCGAGAGGTCGGCTCATCTTCGAGGAGATGCCCGTCCAGAACATCGTCTTGTGCACAGCTCTTCTCTCCTCGTATGCTCAGAGCGGCGATCTGGACCGAGCAAAACAGATGTTTGACAAGATGCCGCAGCGGGACGCCATTGCTGGACGTCTCTCGTCGCCGCCTACGCTCAGAGCAATCACTTGGAGCCAGTCCACAACTTGGTGCTCACCACGGCCAATACTCGCAGCTCGGGAGAATCGACGAGGCCGAGGCGGTGTTCGACGAAGTGTTGGTGAAAGACATCCTGGCCTGGAACACGATGTTGGAGGCTTACTCGCAGCATGGCTACATCGAAGAACTACGGAACACTTTCGACGCTATGCCGGAGAGGAATATCGTCTCGTGGAACATCGCAGTGGCGACAGCACGGGCACGTCGACGAAGCTCGAAAGCTCTTCTCCAGCATGCCACAGCAGGACTGCGTTTCCTGGACGATCATGATCGCGGGCTATGCCCGGAACGGGTATATGAGACACTTTCGACGCCATGCCACCGGTGTCTTCCGAGGTCGTCTTCTCCAGCGCAATGTTCACGGCTTACACTCTGGCCGAGAGCTTCTCCGACGCCATGGAGTTTTTCTACGCCATGAATGCCGAAGGATCACTCCAGTCACGTTCACGAGCGTGCTCGGCAGATGCAGCCACGCGGGATTGTTTTCTCGGGGACTCGGCTACTTCCGATCGATGGTCTTCGACTTCGACGTGGATCCTGTCCGCGAGCACTACAGCTGCGTGGTTGATATCCTCGGCCGGTCCGGACAGCTCGAAGAGGCCGAGGAGCTTCTGGGTTCTATCCCGTTTGAACTGGATGCTGCGAGCTGGGGGGCTCTTCTCGGTGGCTGTGGGATTCACCGCGACGTCCAGCGTGGAGAGCGAGCGGCAGAGAATGCACTCAAGCTGGATCCGAGCGAGGACGGCGCTCGGATGCTCTTGGCCAACATCTATAAAGCTGTTGGTCGGACGCAGTTGCATCCTATCAGTAGACCCACGAAAGTGCTCTCAGTAGGCTTGAGTCCCTCGAGGTTGAGCTCCCGGAAGAGCTCCACGGCGGTCTTGTACGAGCCATTCTCGGCATAGCCAGCGATGAGCGTGTTCCAGGAGATGATATCAAACTCGGGCATCGTTGCGAAGAGCTCTCGCCAGCTGGAGAGATAGCCGGTGTTGCAAACGCAGTGATAATGGTGTTCCACGACGCGAGCTCCAGCTGTGGCATCATCTCGAAAGTCCTGCTGGCCTCCACCAAGCGCCCTCTTTGGGCAACTGCTGCGAATAAAGCGTTCCACGACACAACGTTCCGGCAAGGCACAGATTCGAAGAAATGTGGCGCGTCCTCTGGGCTGGAGTTCACGGTGAATGCATCAAATGCCATGAGAGATCGTTCTTGACCGGTGTCGAAGATAGTGATAGTGAACGCTTCGCGCAAATGCCAGTGATGAGCATATGCTGTGACCATGGCGTTCCCTCCGATTGTGTCGTGGAGCATTCTCTGGAAGATCGCCTCTGCCTCAGTGATGTGCCCGGACTGGGAGTAGTCCGCGACGATCGCAGTCCAGGAGATGACGTTCCTTGGCCACGGCCGATTCCAGATTCCTAGACTGGGCATGCGCCTTGGCTATGAGATTACAGGAAACGGCATCGCGATCCAGCATCCCATCAAAGAGCTCCCGATTCAGCTGCCGCTCCTGCGTGTATGCTGACACAACTCCGTTCCAGGAGAAGATATTGGGGAAGTCAAGGCCATCAAACACTGCCCTCACCTCCTCCAAGCTCCCACAATAGGCATACATTGTGATGAGGAGATTGCCCAGGAATGTGTTGCCACTGTGTTGGCTGTGGAGGATCCGTGAGTGGCAATCCTGTGCTCAGGCTCTCAATCGCTACACACTGCTGGATTAACATGGCAAAGGTAGAAACATTAGGGGTGGAAAAGCTTAGTGTGGAGCCATTGCCCAAACACCTGCATATCTTCTTTCATTATGAATAAACTCTTCATGTTTGGCAAAATGTTCTGTTCATCTATTAAAGTTAAATTGTTTTCTACATTTATTATTATTATTATTATTATTATAGTTATTATTTATTTATTCCACTATGTTAGAGGACCCACCACATTGTAAGGAACCAATTCCTTATGTCATATGCTAAAGAATCTGTGAAATCACAACCAAAACAATAACAAGTTTATTAAATAAGAGTGAGTGTGAAATTAAGTCCAATACTGACTTTAAAACTAAAGTTAAGTCCGAGACCAAATCTAAGACCAAATCCAAGTATTAATATAAATCACAGGGTAAAAGCCCAAAGCGATTGTTAAAAGAGATAGCTAAAGCAAGGTATAAGTGCATTAAGACAGATGAAACCTCCTTTAGAGATGGAGCCTTTGATCTATGGATGAGCAATCCTAACATAAGAAGAACTTTAGTGAGGAAATTTCTAAATGTGAGTCTAGTGGCAAGGTGTGGTCGTCCAAGTCTTAATTAAACACTGTGACTTTTCGGTTAAAAATGCTATATTCAAAGTTTTATATATATATATATATATATATATATATATATATATATATATATATATATAAAACTATCCCCTTATACCTTTACCCTTACCACTTTACTATTCTACAACCACTTTTTTTCTATGACCTAATATTTGAAGTCAAAGTAAAAAAAAAAAAAAAACAAAATTTTTTCACAACTACTCTCTCCTTTATCTTGTATTCATCCTATTACCCATCCATTTTACTCTGTCACAAACTTTATCTTTCACCACCTTTATAAAATGATATTTTATATAACTCCTACATTTAAGTATACCTTGTTTAAAAATATTTTCTTGTGTAACCTATACATTCAAGAATGGTCATCTAATCTACCACCTTTAATACACTAATATTTTATAATATCAACAATAAAACATAAAAAATAATCCAAGGACTATATAAGAAAGAGCCCCTCACAATACAAAGTATTAGAGTGGAGTGATTCTAGCCTAAGTTTTCTCTTTTAGTTTTGCAATATAAATTGATGGCTAATAACACACTATTTCTGCATGCTTTGGGCTTTGAGAAAAAAAGAGAGGAGAGGGATTCCCTTGACTCTTAATTTTTATTTTTTTAAGTAGGACTTAAAGAAAGATGGATATGACAACCTCATAATGGTGCAGAGGGAAATTGAAGAATTAATGGGATTTTCGTTGATTCCTTCACCAAAAAATCTATTCTCAATTATATTGCTACTCTTCAAAATCCCTTCAAAGAAGCATATGGCAAGGATTTCCACTAGTGGAAGATGCCTAGTGATCATGCAAAAAGCACCACAATGGAGTCTAATATGAGACACAAAATCCCTAGGCCCCAAAGTGGAGCCAGAAGGGTGCCACGTAGTAGTGGCCGAAGAGAAAGCCAAACGAGCGTAACACGTTTGGACTAAAAGCTCCGACTTGAAAGGTCAAGAGCGGGAGTGGAACTCCCAACAAAGGGTTTGAGGAACAAGCACGAAGCAAGCAATAAGTGAGACTCCAAAAAGGGACCCAAAAGGACCAATACATCACACGTGGAAGTGTCCGAGATGGAGTCCGAGATGGACCTGAGTTGGAGTTCGAGATGGAGTTTGAGGTGGAGTCCGAGATGGAGTCCGAGATGGAGTCCGAAGTGGAGTCCGAGATGGAGTTCGAGATGGACTCAGACGGAGTCTGAGATGGAGTCCGAGATGGACCCGAGATGGAATCCGAGATGGAGTCCGAGAAGGACCCGAGATGGAGTTCGAGGTCAAGACCGAGACCGGGACCGAGACCAAGACCAAGACCGAGACCGGGACCAAGACCGAGACCAAGGCGGAGGCCAAGACCGAGCCCAAGCCCGAGTCTGAGTCCGAGTCCGAGTCCGAGTCCGAGTTCGAGTCTGAGAGGGTGAAAGCCCTAAGCGTTCGTCTCCCAGACCCTGGGGGGTTTGGTGAGCTCCAAAAGTATAGTAAGGGGGAGGACTGCAGTGGAGCCAGTTTGGCTAGGAAAGGCTAGTTTGGCCCAGGAAGGCCAGACCCAATATTGGGTGATGAACTGACCACTGGGAAGTCCAAGACTAGAGTGAATACAGACCGACAAATGAGGTAGCTTGGTGAAACTACCTACTTGGATACTAGGCGTGGCTCAACAGAACCTTGCTCTAAGCCCATGGCTAGAGCACCTAAAGGTGGAAGGTGGGGAGAGTACCCACGGGGCTCGCGTAGGCCCACGGTGTTCCGAAATGTTGTCCCGGAGTCCCAAATGGGGGAAAGGAGGAGGAGTAGTCCTCTAGTGTAGTGACTAAGGATACAGTCACATGGTGAGGAAGTCCCAGAGGACCATGGGATTTAGTGGTCGTGCCTGCAGGCCTTGATCTAGTGGTAGTGTCGACGAACATGGCCATGAGCAGAAAAGGGACTTGGTAGGAATTGACAAAGGGATATTGGGGAAGGCTATTCCCCATGTCTGTAGGCATCCTAAAGATGCTAAGGAGTGGATCTGGGTTGACCACTTGTGGACAGATGGCCTAGTTTTGGAGAGACGGGATTGTGATGCAAGTGGTATTGAACCACTAGTGCGGCAAAGGTCAATAGGCATGGCCTTAGCGTAACGGGCTGATATGTCAGTGGTACCTTTGGGTGTCGGTCTTGGGACCAGACATGTGGAGCACTTGGACCAAGTGCAACGGTTGAGTGGCACGGATGCCACTCTTGGGGTTAGCAAGTCCTAAGTCCTGAATTGGACTTATGGAGGTTGTGAATGAGACTTCTTCAAGTGGCCGGAGGTGTGGTTAAGTGACTAAAGTAGAATGGAAAATTTAGTCGCTTACATCTAAGATATAGATCATAGAGGAGATCATCTGGAGTTTTATTATGGAAAAATGAAATTTAACATTCTTTTTCCTCCCTTATTAACACTTTGAAAGGACAATTAACATAGACTAATGCTCTTCTAAAGACCTTCATACAAAAAGTTGAAGTATGACAAGAAACAGAAGAAAAAACAAAAGACTGTAGATGCTAACAACATAGAAAGTATGGACCCCTTGACAAGTACTGAGCTACATAATATCAAGCAAACCAAAGTCTAAAACAATTCCCAAATACAAACCAAAGCATTCACTAGTCTTAAATGGAGTGAATGACTATAAACCCTTGATGATGCTCTTTATTTGGCATAACCTTATGAGATGTCGCTTCTTCCACTTCTGGTTGCACGTCCTTCAACTCGTAGTTCCAAACTCAAGTGTATAGGAAATGGGAAGGAACCCTATTCTTAAGCCTATCTTGGGCTTATATGCAAGGATAAGGGAATATTCTAAGGGTATAGAATATTCCATGTACTCTCTCAAGCCAAAATCTAAGTCGTGATAGGTGGTGATAAACTATCACTACAATAGGTGACCACTAGTGAGATGCATAAGACTCCACCACACAAGAACCCACAGCTGAGATGCCCCCATGTATTAGAATGTAGTGTCTAGAGAAGGTAACTGCTGAAACAAAAAGAAAACAAGAGAAAGCTAAAAGTGGAAGTCAAAAAGGATAAAAGATGGGAGAGGAGTTTAAAGTTTAAAGACACAGGGAAAACCAATGGGAAATTGTATAGTTGAACTAGAGACTCAAGAAAGTAGGAGAAGAGAAGAAAAAATGAGGAAAAAAGCAAGAAAACCAAATGGAAATAAGTTTAAACCTAGCTCCCACACTCTGGAAAATGAATATGTTAATGCAGCCTCAAGCACATGTAGTTTGTGCTCAAAACTTTCATCAAGAATAAAGAAGAAAGCATAGGGAATGTATTGCCCAGTGTTTCTAAGGATGGGCTTTAATCTGATGTAGTGAAATGTGAAGTTGCAGCTACTGCTTGCACAAAAACTACTAGACTACCACTTTAAAAGTGGCAAACTGCTTCACTTGTGATTTGAGCTGGAAAAAAAGGTGTTGGCTTTGTTAGACACACCTCTAAAAGCACATGGGTTCCTACTACAGTCGGGATCTCCTAGTGGAAAAAGAAATCAGCTCTAAAGGAAAGAAAGTCACAGCATATGATTGGTTCATCAAATATCTCACATGTTGTGCATG